TACTCATGTAAAAGGTTAGGTTGGATTTTGAACGATAATTATAGCCTCCCATGGGGCTAGAGATAGGATGGTAACACACCACCCCTTAAAAGCGTACAAATAAGCTAAAATAGGAGACTTTTATGAGCTAACAGGATATCTGAAAAGGTCGGCTGTCGGACCCTGTTGTGTACGGAGGGGGACACCACCACTTGAAATAGCTCCACAACCATTCAAAAAGGTCCCTTTGTGGTACTGCTCGCAGGGTTCGGGTAATTCATCAAACGGGTCGCTTGGAGCTATCCAGGAGACCTGTTAAGGCGGCGTCGGCGTCGTGATGTCGCAGCCACAGGCCCAACTCATTACGCTGATTGGACGTGTAAGGACGACACTAGCGCTCCAGCAGAGTAGTGGAAACGTTACAATAACGAATATAATAATGATTATAACAAAAATTAAATCAAAATAATAATAATAATAATAATAATAATAATAATAACAATAATAATAATAATAATAACAATACGTGGCCCTCGACAGGAGATTGTTCGTGACAGTCTGAAGATGAGTAGCAGTAAGGCCTATCATAGTAAGGTTGCACTAATGAGCCATTGATGATTGATGCCGAGATATTGATTGATGATCAAGAACGGGACACGAGGGAAGAGAGAGGTGAGGAGGAGGTGAGGGGCGGTGGGGAGGGGAGGAATAGGTGACGGGGGAGAAGAAGAGGTGACGGGGGGAGGAAGAGGTAAGGGGTTGGTAGGATGGGGAGAGAGAGAGAGTGTACTAGATGTCAAGGCGAACATTAAAGAGACACAACTGACAGTCGTTATTGTCTTCATTGTAATAGTTGGAGAGAATAACCCACGTCCTCCCTGTTACACGTCCTCCCTGCTACACTTCCTCCCTGCTACACGTAAGGTCCTCCCTGCTTCACGTAAGGACCTCTCCTGCTACACGTCCTCCCTGCTACACATAAGGTCCTCCCTGCTACACGTAAGGACCTCTCTCTTACACGTCCTCCCTGCAACACGTAAGGACCTCCCTCCTACACGTCCTCCCTGCTACACGTAAGGACCTCTCTCTTATACGTCCTCCCTGCTACACGTAAGGACCTCCCTGCTACACGTAAGGACCTCCCTGCTACACGTAAGGACCTCCCTCCTACACGTCCTCCCTGCTACACGTAAGGACCTCTCTCTTACACGTCCTCCCTGCTACACGTAAGGACCTCCCTGCTACACGTAAGGTCCTCCCTGCTACACGTATGGTCCTCCATACACATAGGGTCATTTCCTACTCTTGACGCAAGTTTCTTCCAGCTCAACATAAGAATGTTCACTACTCGCCGTATGAACCCTTGTTTCTCCACGTAAGAATCTTAATAGTTCCAGGTAAGAGGCTTCGCTTTTCGCCAGTAAGACCTTCCCTTTGCTCGACATAGTGTCTGTGTGTTTGTCCTCAGTGCAAGTGGTGAGTAAGAAGAGAAGGTAAAGTTTCTTGAGTCTGTGTGTAGGAAGTTATCTAATAGTGAAGGACAAGTTTAAGGTAAGTCACTGCTCTGGAAGTTCATTAATGAGTGATCCAATGTGTAAAGGAGAAGCGCTTTTATGATATCTTTCCTTATTACGAGTCCTTACACAACTTACACAAGGCTACAAAGTACAGATAGGAGGAGCTGTATAAAAGGTTTGTCTTCTCGTAACAACAAAAACTTATACCTAATAGTTGTGTCATATCTCAACCCTTGATGGTGTGTGTGTGTGTGTGTGTGTGTGTGTGTGTGTGTGTGTGTGTGTGTGTGTGTATGTGTGTGTGTCAACAAATTATGACGTGTTTGGCTGATGGATGAGGCGGCGTCGTCAGCTGGGTCGCAGTGTGACAATACTGAATAATTTCCATGCAGCCAAAGCCAATGACGAGTATTGGTGAAGTGGTATTCAACATCAAGATACACACACACACACACACACACACACACACACACACACACACACACACACACACACACACACACACACATACATATGGTTACATTTTCCACTCATTCTATATTTGTGATTGGAATAGAAATCTCTCCTGGAAAAAATAAAAAATAAAAAAATAAAACCAGCTACTTTATATGACCGACGAGCAGCCTGAGGAACTCGTGTGTGTTTTATTGTGTATATGGGCGTGTTTGTATACCTTCATGCGTATGTATGTATGTATGTATGTATGTATGTATGTATGTATGTATGTATGTATGTATGTCTCTGTGCGTGTGTATGTCTCTGTGCGTGTGTATATTGCGTGTATGATGGAGGGACACAAACGGTCGTATTATCATAATTTTAAAGTAAGAGAAAAAATATTCAGTGTTAACCCAGCGCTTCGGCCACCAGTTCTAACAACAACACTACATGCCACCACCACCACCTGCCACCATCACCTGGTAACGTAACCTGCCACCATCACCTGCCACCATCACCTGGTAACGTAACCTGCCACCATCACCTGGTAACGTAACCTGCCAGCACCACCTGCCACCGTCACCTGCCACCAGCAACTGCTATCATCACCACCTGCCCCCATCAACTACCACCACCCACCTACCTCCACCCACCACCACCACCCACCTGCCATCACCACCTGCCCCCATCAACTACCACCACCCACCACCACCACCCACCACCACCACCCACCCACTCCACCCACCCTACCTCCACCACCCACCTCCCACCACCCGCCTACCTCCACCACCCCTATCAACTACCACCACCCCCACCTCCACCACCCACCACCACCACCTGCTACCACCATCTAGCACAAAACACGAAGAAAAATGAGGCAAAAAATATCAAAAGGAAGAGTCTTGTAAAACTGATAATAACCTTAACTGAGACAACAGGACAATAACACAGTACATATTTTGTTATTGTGACATGACAGGTGATGAAGACTGATATATGTAAAGATTATATTATTATGGTTGGAGAGAGAGAGAGAGAGAGAGAGAGAGAGAGAGAGAGAGAGAGAGAGAGAGAGAGAGAGAGAGAGAGAGAGAGAGAGAGAGAGAGGCAGCCAGGTTAAGCAAGGTGGTAATTGCAGTAGGGTCAATAGTGGATTTCATGTATATTAGCTTCGTGAATGATGGGCGGAAAAACAGCTCTGGCGACGCTTTACACACACACACACACGCGCGCGGGTATCACATCCTAGAATTGGAGGCAGGAGGGTGGTGGCTGGCTTGCAACACCCCCCCCTCCTCCCCCTCCCACCACCTCTATTGTTCTTGTGTCTGACAATGAAAGGACAATGAACTGCGACGCTCTCAGACACGAGATATTACACCGCCCGATATTGTCTCCTTCTGAGCTTTAACTTCCCATTAGTACCAGGACGTGTAAGTGTAGTGAGTCAGTGAACAGCAACAGCCGCCGTTCAAGTGAGTGGTTTCAATTTATGTGTTCCCGCCGTCAAAGTGATGGTCAGTGCAGGCAGATGGGAGAACATACTGAAGAGGAAGGTAACAAACAACCAGGCGTTCTTCATTGCTCGTGCTGGCATTGGTTAAACTAGTTGTGCTCTTTTAACACAGTACCAAGGCTAACAAGAGGCGACGATACATTTGGTGGGTACAATGGCTGGCGTATGAGATTGCTTATTTAACATCCTTGGTCTTGTTACTATAGCGAGGGTAGTTCTGCCCATTCTGTTAATTTTACCACGATGTAAACAAACAGTGGTGCCACATCTCACTAACCATGCTAGACACTGTACCAGTTATAAATGGAAGCGACTGAAAGTGCGTCTAGTATTCACTAGTCTGGTCAAATTGCAACAGTAAAATAAAAATGGTGTTAATATATACGAATTCCCAGCTGAGGCCTCAACTCAGACACCCGCAATGCAGACACCTCAAGCAGATAAATGCACACATTATTGAATGAATGAATAAATAAACACCTGAGTGAATGGACAAGTAAGTTGAATAAATGAATGAATAAATGAATGAATGAATGAATGAATGATATGAATGAATGAATGAATGAATGATATGAATGAATGAATGAATGAATGAATGAATGATATGAATGAATGAATGAATTAATAAATGAATGAATGAATAAGTTGACCACTGACTTTACTTTAGGAAGGTTGTGTCAAGTTAGCTTCTGGGATTCATGTTATCTTGTGTTAGCTGGGAACAGTTCTATCCTTCACGAGACAGAGGGCTGAGCTGGAGCCGGTGGAGGTAGGAGTGAAGAAGAGTAAAAACAACTGGACGGTAATAAAGATAAATATAAGGTGGACATTGAGGGTAAGAAAACCTTTATAGTTGGTGATTGGCGGAAAAGGTACTTAGATCGTGCCTTCTGTAACAAGGACAAGACTAGCATCTGTGGTTGGCCCATTCACTGTCACCCAGTATGTGAATTTATCTAAATCTTGCACTGTAAACGAGATCACTTGAACACACCACCCTGAAACTTGTGACTGATGCGGCTCTCACGTTTTAGAAGTCAGACGCTGTTCGTGTAGAAGTATTTATAAGTTAACCAAGGCGGATAAAACAGCAGGACTGGAGCAAGAAACATAAATCTTCTGCCAGAGTGTGTCCCATATTTCACGCTGTGTGGCCTCACAGTTTACCCGAACATTACCTGAAGCTTGTCGAGGATATATTGCTATCCTTCCTGTTGTTCTTTCTCTCCCCTGACCAGGTTCATGGCTTAGCCCTGTCGCTGTGTCGTATTTCTCTGTCAATTTTTGTTTCCTTCCTCTTGGTTTTCCACTAGACTGAGACACACACACTCACTTACTGACACAGTTTAGGTATTAGTTACTGTTTCAGTGTGTGACAGATTGATAGACTGGAACCAATAAAAATGTCATCGGAAAACAACCCAGACAGACTAATGACTTCTTGTTAATCTTCCTCAACAATCACCAAGTTCAATAGAGCTCGAGTCCTTCCCTGAACCACCTCTTTCCCGAACCCCCCTTCACCTCCCCTCACTCAATACAACACTCACCTGACGTTCTCGTGGCGGCTCATATAGATCTTCTTGAACTGACCATCACCACCACTACCCAGGTCCTGACGCATGGTCTCCGCCACGTGTTTGGGCAGCACCGACAACAAGAGCCGCTCCTGCAACATACGAGGTTACATGACATAATTTTCATCGTATATATATAAAAAAAAAAGAGCTCTTATTGAGGAGCTATTTCATGAGGTCAGAGTTTATGAACCCTTAAGACACACCTCTTAATAGTGCTGAAGATTTTACTTAAAGGTTCAAAGTTAGCAAAATAGAGGATCAAGGTCTTCACACAAACAGAATCCAAAAATAGTCTCATGAGAAGAATGAACCCATGAATAATAATGCCTTAAACTAAAATAAACAACAACAACAACAACAACAGCAATCAGATGGAATCAAAAGTGAAAAAAGAAAACATCCAAAGAAATAAATAAATATTTCCTGTGAGGGAAGGAAAATGTAAGAGCTGTCAAGAGGAAAAAAAAAAAGAAAAAAAAAAGAAAAAATGAAATATAAATAAGTCGTAGTTCAGTAGAAGCAAAAAACAACCCCAACTGTCTGGACAAATATATAACAGACTAAATAAAACACATAAAGAAAACAAGAAAATAATTATAAAACACACAAAAAATTAGAGGGTATAAATATGGCGACCTATAAAGAGATTCAAAAAAAAAAAAATCGCATCAAAATATAAAAATATCAAACACTCAAGACCTAATAAATGTCAACAAAGAATGCACTTGTTGAGACCAGGTTTATATACAGGTGACAACAGAGGCTCATAATACTGTACACCTTCTCTGAGTGAGTGGGTAATAACAGGTGTGCCATGGTCAATTTAACACCTGTATACGTATAACACGATTGCAGGTATGAAGGTTTGTGATTGTGATATTTTTCTTAGGTCTTTGTCTGTGTTATTCTTCGTTCATGAGTTTTCCCCTCTCTCTCTCTCTCTCTCTCTCTCTCTCTCTCTTTATTTCTTTCATAGTCCCGTCTTTTCTCTTCCTCCTTTACAATTCTTCCTCTTCCTCTTCTTTTTACTCTTTTAATATCTCTCTTCTTCCTCCTTCACAATTCTTCCTCTTCCTCTTTTCTTTTAATATCCATCTTCTTCCTCCTTTCTCTTCCTCTTCCTCTATAATTCTTCCTCTTTCTAGTCTTCTTTCTCTTTAAATATCCCTCTTCTTCTTCCTCCTCCTCTAATATTCCTCTTCCACATCTTATATCCCTCCTCCTCTTCTTCCTCTTTTAATACCCCTCTTCTCCCTCTTCTAATATTCCTCTTCCTCTTCTTATATTTCTCTCCCCTTCCTCTTCTTCCTCCTCCTCCTCGGTCTCTTCCTTCCTTCTCCAATTTTTCCTCCGACACGAAACATTAGCCATCCTTTGTGTGTGTAGTCAGGTGTGTGTAGTCAGGTGTGTGTGTGTGTGTGTGTGTGTGTGTGTGTGTGTGTGTGTGTGTGTGTGTGTGAAAAACAGATCTACACATAGCACTCCAGGTACAATAATTCCCAACAGGTGTAATAAAGGCTGTACCCCTAAAAGAATTCCTTATATATTCATTATTTACGTTTATATTAACATTTAGGTTACAATTATTTACATATCGTCCCTGTATTATAAAATCACTTCCTTAATAGGTAAAGTGCAAGTTACTTTAAAATCTCCTTTAACTTGCTTGCTGTCAGTAGGAGGCGAGACAATACAACTACAGAAGGTAGAGTCTAAGTGGAATTTCAAAGCCATTTTACTCTCATCGCTTATATGACCCGAGTTTAAAATTCGTTTTCAATTCATCAGTCGTAAGAGAGAAAACTGAAAACATGACTTTCTGAGAATTTTTGTCTAGATCTAATTAATTTTCATTTTAGTGTGAAAAAAATATAAGGGTGATGAATTGAGGTCTTCCATTGCCGAGTTACAGGACATTTACCGAGTTATAGAACATTCAAATATATATAACTCGGCCACGTAAAATCTGTTTCATGATATTAGATTCATATTAGAGGGGCATTAAGTAACGTCTCCCTCAGGTGATGTAATTGTGGATTGATATTAAGCAACATTTTTATTTATTTTTAATTTACTACGACAGAGACTAACGTTAAGTGGTTTCAGGTTATAAAGGTTGTGTGTGTGTGTGTGTGTGTGTGTGTGTGTGTGTGGTCTACATACGTGTATTAATGTAATATCCATGACCAATTATACTTTAATAAGCTACAGGTATTAAAAACTCGCTAACTTGTCTTTTGGTATTAACCTACCTCATGGGAAACAACAATAACATATTTTTTTCAATGCTAACACACACACACACACACACACACACACACACACACACACACCGCTCAATGCCATAATAATAATAATAATTGCCCTGTATTAAGTATTTTTGTTGGAGATTTTTTAAAGCAGCTTAATTAAACAAAAATAAATAAAAAAATAAATAATTGTGTACGATTGTGTTTATAATTTTCGAGATATGTGATAAATTTAATGACAAACAGACAAACATACGGACAGACAGACAGACAGACAGACAGACAGACAGATAAGCAAACACAGAAATACAGATGGCAGAGAGAGAGAGAGAGAGAGAGAGAGAGAGAGAGAGAGAGAGAGAGAGAGAGAGAGAGAGTCCTCCTGTATCAGTGTCAGGAAGAAGCAAGTACCTGGTAGCAGGCGTGGGTGGCAGGCGTGGGTGGCAGGCATGGGTGGCAGGCGTGGGTGTTGAGTGACAGTGCTCAGGCGGACTTGAACTAACTAAGGTTCACCAAGTATCTCACTGTATGAGAAGCGATTATGATACATCAACGAGACTTTGCAGGGTAATATAAGAGTGTTTACAGAGTTCGTCGAAGAAGTTACATTATTAAAACATCGATATGTACTCCAGTATTTCCAGCATATAACTGTATTCTTCACTGTATTCTTCACTGTATTCTTCACTGTATACACTCGTGATGTTCTGTTTACCATGAGCACCGCAAGTCTTAGGAAAATGACAAAGCTTGGTATAGAAAATAATAGAGTAGATACCGATGTTTTGGATGATTAACTTCACCACAACAAAGTGTCCCGTTTGAGTTATGTCTACAATAGCAGCTTATCAGGGAAATGACCAATAATATACGTGTCGAGATTATATTATATAACACAAACCTGACTACTCTTACTCCATAATGACTAAGGTTAAAGGGTATAGTGTGTTGTTGTTTTAGATATTTATAATAATAATTTACATATAAAGTCACAGTCATATTAGCACAGCAGTTAGTGATGACGTTCTCCCTCTCCTCCTCCCTTCCCTTCATACCCCTTCCTTTCCCCATCTCCCATTCCTTTCATCCCTCTACCCCCACTACTTTTCCTCTCCCTCACTCCTCACCCGTATCCCTCTCTCTCTCTCTCTCCCTCATACAATCCATCTCCTCTCATACGCCTCCCCCCCCCAGACTTCAGGTACGGCAATATATCATCTACTGGGATACGATTATAAGTCTTATGTGGACCCTGACAGCTGCTGGTGATGAGGTTAGGTTAGGTAATTACTGTCTGTTGGACTCAGGAGAACGTGAAACAAATACTTTGATTATTGATGCAAAAGATACGCAAGAGACGCAAAAAAATCAGACTCAATTATCAAACCGTGTTAGAGTGTTGTTGATGTTGTCAGTAGGATGAAAGTGACAGACAGACAGACAGACAAGAACAGATAGAGGGAGAATTAGACAGACAGGCAAGACAGACAAACAGACAGAGATGGAACAGCAGTGGTTCATTAGCAGACGATCAATGCCACCATCCATATCTTCTTAGTTCAGGTGTGTGTTAATCTCGTTACCCACTAATGACATTTACCTGTGGACCCCAAGTGGCCAGGTAGCTTGTGATAGCTTGTTAATCCGGCCACCAAGATGCAGGAAAACCAACATATATTAATTTAGGGTTATAAACGTGTTATGATTGGTCGTTCCCTCTCATTACTTCCGGATGAAATGATAGGTTCTGATTTCCTACTGTGAGTTAAAGTGAGGTTCTGATTTCCTGATTTCCTCTATTCGCAGACATTAGATTCAGAATAAATATTAATATCACCAATAATAATGTGATAAAGCTCTGTGTGTGTGTGTGTGTGTGTGTCTGTGTGTGTGTCTGTGTGTGTGTGTGTGTGTCTGTGTGTGTGTGTGGTGGAGAAACAAAACAGTGACGTCCTAATAGGGAGTGGCCAGTACATGTTATTTTCCCTCGTGTTATCATCAGCAGGACTTGGCCAGGGCGCCGTCTTTCGCATCAACAAGTGGTTCATATGCCACAGTTGACGACAGATTGGAGGCCATAGATAAAGGCCATAGGTTGGAGGCCACAGTTGGAGGCCATAGGTTAGAGGACACAGTTAGAGGCCATCAGTGGAAACAACTGGGTCACACCTCTCCCTCCCTCCCTCCCCAGCACGCACAAACTCCTCTCAAACGGGCTTCAATAGTCGTCCCGCCTTCACTTAATGAACCACTGCTACTCCCCTCCTCTTCCCTCACCTCCTCTCCTTTCCCCTTCCCTTTACCTCCTCTTCCCTTCCAGCTCTTCGCCTTCCCTCCCCCTCTCCCTCCCCTTCCCTCCTTTCCTCCCCCTCTCTCTCCTTCCAGCCCCCTCCTTCCCTTTCCCTTCCCTCCCCTCCTCCCACGTCCCTTTAACCCTACAACACTCCTCTCAACATGGAATTCTTAACCCCTCCTCCTCCTCCTTCTCCTCTCCTGAACATCCTAACTTAACCATCATGTTATTTTCATCTGTTCAGGTACCGTACTTCAATTGCCAGGGTCTATAGGTACGAGTTCAATAAGTCTTCAAGTTTCTAAATAAATAATAACTTTTAATAATTGGTAAATGGATTAGCTGAAGATTAAACACCCGAGGTTAGGTTAGGTTTTAAGTTAGGTTAGGTTTGATTATCCATAGGGCGCTTAATCTAATGGTAAAATAAACTAGGGAGACTATACTTCACCTTATCTGCTTTGAATATTATAACAATGTATCATGTTTCCAGGACCACCAGGAAGATCAGACGTCAAATAAACACCGCGACTAAGACCTCGATAATAAGTGTATTGTGAGATGATTTTCCTTCGCTGAAGTTCATTAAGGGGAACTTGTAACTAACTTAATTTCGTCCCAATTACCTGTCTTGTGTGTGTGTGTGTGTGTGTGTGTGTTAGGGCGGGGAGCGGCAGAAACACATCTTCAAAACTAACCTAACCTAACCTAACCTAACCTAACCTAACCTAACCTAACCCACCCTCTTCCCCTCATCATCAGACCACTACAAGCAAAGACAGGCAGCTAAACTCTACTTGTTATGGTCTAGTTAACACACACACACACACACACACGCGCACACACACACACACACAGAGGTAAGGCTCCCGGATATTGTCAGTTTCAACAGAATGGAAGATCTCATTGAAGAACCACAAAGGAAGTAATCACCATATAGATTAGTTCTTATAATTCAGAGATGAAAATATTCTAGGTGAGCCAGTTAGAAGGTATTACTCGAAGGTATTACTCGGAGGTGCATAAAAAATCGATACAACAAACAGACCTAATCATCTCCTCCTAGTAGTGTGCCGGGAAGGAAGTTTGGGACAAGGAGAACGGGTGTAAATCTTTAATATAACTTGGTATTCGTAATTACATCTCGACCTTGTTTGAGTCTCATGTTAATTTCTGGGTGTAATTGTGTCTTGAGGTAATTCTAACTCTATCTTTATACCGGAAGTTGAGAGAGGTATTGCAGATGAATTTCTCAGCTCCAGGAAGTTGAAGGTAATTTTTAGTATACGAGTGTAAGGGAATCCAGAATATAAGCCATGGATAGGTCGATGATGTTCGTGTATGTAGTAAGGAAACGAATTAAAAAGACAAAACTTGAACAAAAATATTCATGAAAAAATATCCCCCAAAGAAAAAAAAAATGAAAAAAAAAATGAAAAAGGAAATAATAAAGTAAAAACAAAATGTCACCTCTACTTCAGGGTGAGAGTTAAGGCGTTGTCTCTCGGTGGTCTTTGATTCTTCGTGGAGTTACTGAAGACAAAGATTTTAGTCATGACTTTAATATTTTTAGGTCGTTTTATATCGTTGAGCTAATTCTTTACGTATTAAAATATACCTAACTGTACTGAGGTGAGCAAACTCTTGGACAACTTTCTGGACGTCTTGAGGATTAAAACACGTTGACTTCTCTGTATTATTTCTAGGATGCTGTAACAACGGGGCAGACGCAGTGATCACCGGAACACCTTGTCACGAATCTACTCATACAGTGATCATCAGATAGTCGCCTTGATTAAAGACTTTGACTCCACCAATCGAAAACCTTTGTGGATGGATCCTAATTAAACTTGATTGTCCACCGAAGTTAATGCCACCTTGAGAATCCGACCCGACAACTCGACCACCGCCACTGTTCTCTGCAATGCCTCGGTAAGGATGTGTGATCGCTCCAGCCATCTTCATATTTAATCTTGCCGCCATCTTGCTCCTCATCCCAAAACGCCTTTCACCTGTAGTCAATGGAAAACTTTTTAAGCTCATCAGACTCCGTACCTTCTGTCAGCGATCCACAGTAACTTGACCTCTGAGGCACACACGAATAGATCAACCAACTCCACATTACCCTCGCCCCTGCCTCCCCTACATCACCATCTACGGAAATGTTCTTGAATACTGTATGTGGAACACTTTTCTAACCTCGAGAGTCATCAGTCTGAAGGTAAACATAGACAAGGACACCTATTCCTCGTCACCCAATGATCGCTACATCAGGACTCGTGCTAAGCTTCTCGTCTACAACACCGTCGTCGATCCTGTATGACTGTGACCGGGTGAGATACGGGAACCAGAGGAAGGGCCTGGAGCGATACCACCCAACGAGGTCTTTGAAGGATTCCCAACGAGATCTTTGAAGGATTCCCCGTATCAAGTGGGAGGAGGGTCACACTCAAGACCCCTTTTCTCCTCATCCATGTAAACACTACCACCATCCACGAGGTGATGGTTCGTGTCAGGCTGAGGAAGCGTCTCAAAGGTAACATGAAGAGGTGCAATATCATACACGGACACCTGAGAAGAACAGCTACTGGGCAGACGAAGGTGGTGCTGCCTCCTGAGTCTTAATCTTCAGGAGAGAGGAGACGAGTGGAGAGGGGAGGGGGGAGGAGAGAGAGGGGAGGGGGAGAGGAGAGGGGAGAGAGTAACACACACTCACCTGGCCTTCAATAAACCAATAATTGTAATTTTTCTCTCTTAATTACACAGCATAGTCTCTCACCCCTCACCTGGCCCTTATCCTCTCAAGGTCGATACTCTCCCCTCACTCTTACCCTTTTCTTCCTCCCTTACCTCTCCTTCCCCTCACTCTTTCCCCTTTTTCCACTACACCTCAATTTTCTTTTACTACCATCTTTCCTTTCCCATACTGTTCCTCCCCCCCCCCACACTTCTTCCCTCGTCACCTTTCCCCTCCCAGCTCCTACCTCCCCTCAGAAACCTTTGAATTGAAAAAAAAGAGGGTAAAAATATGATATTTCTATACGCTTCTTCTGAGGGGTCGCCACACCTGCCTCCCCTCTTTCCCCTCCCAATTTATTCCTTCATCTACGCTCCTTTCCCCTCTCTCTCTCCCTACCACCACTCACCTCCCCTCGGCGACCTTTGAAGTGACAGGTGAGGGGAGGGCAGAGAGTAGTATATCTCTCACCTGATTCCCCTTTTACCCCCTCACTTTCTCCCTTATCCTTCACCCACTTACCCCTCTCTTTCTCTCTCTCTCTCTATCCCCTACCACTCATACACTCATCCTTCACCACTACCCCTCACCCCTCTCCACTACCACCCCTCATCCCTCTCTCTCCGTCATCACTTACCCCTCTCCAACACCACCCCTTACCCCTCTCCAATACCACCACTTACCCCTCTCCAACACCACCCCTTACCCCTCTCCAATACCACCACTTACCCCTCTCCAACACCACTCTTCACCCCTCTCCACCACCGCTTACCCCTCTCCACGGACACACCCTCTCCCTTTCACCCCTCAATCTTCCTCTATTGTCTCACTTCCCCTCTCGCCGGCCTTGGAGGAGGGCAGGAAAGGCTTCAGTACCTGGCGTCTGTATAGTGTTGCCACCTTCCCTCTCATTAAGGTGTTACAGGTTTGCTATACAGGGCAACAGGTATATAGCACGTGGAGGGAGGCGTATAGCATAAGAGAGCAGATGTATAGCAGTAGATAGCAGATGTGTAGCAATAAATGGTAAATATACAACACTATGAAACAACAGCCGCATAGCACTTTTCAGTATGTGTACAGGAAAAGGGTGTTGATGTATAGCACAAGAGGATAATTGCACAGCACCAGGAAGTAAAGTGCATAGATCTAGATAATACAAGTATAGCATTAGACAAAAAATGTAAGAGTACTGAGCAGAAGTTGTATAGCACTTTGCGGTAGGTGTAGAGCACTAGAAGTGGCTCTATACTACTAGTCGGTGTATAGCAAAATATGTAATGCTATACTGTACATGGTAGAAGACGTATAGCAGGATGTGTCCGGTAGTAGTATAGCAAGAAGTACTATCGTAATGTATAGCAGGTGGTGAATTATGTACATGGCGAAGGAAAGAGAAAATAAATGATGATGATGATGATGATGATGTTGATGATGATGATGGTGATGATGATGATGATGATGATGATCTGAAAAACTTTATCGGGTGGACAGATGGATGAATGGATGAATGGAGACTCACGATGCCTCCTGCCGATAAAATAATGCCTCTAGACACGATAATAAGAGGAAGTTAAACTCAATTCTGGCTGACGTCTTTATTATACCGAGAATTACATAAGCTAATATCTTCAGTCAGTCGTATAAAAAAAAAATAAATAAATAAAAAAATAAAAAAAATAAGGTAGCCTCCGTTAGGTTTCCGGACGAAGCTGGCTGGTATCCGGACAGTCGGTTCTCTCAATGGTACAAGACCACTTTAACCTCCAGTCATAATGTGTATTTTGGATGGGGAAACTCACCACGTATAAATCATGTCGGATAAAGTTATGTTACATGTGTTCTTTTGACCTTCCTATAGGACTTGTCTTGGTCAGGAAGTGTTAGATGTTGTTTGAGAATGTTTAGATTAACTTTGGTTGTATGTGGTTGTTAGTCTGTCTGTGTCGTTGTGTTTTAATGTAGGGTTACAGTCTGGTGTGTGTTCCAGAGGTGTCTATTCTGAGTATTTACCAATCTTATGTCAGTATTGTTTGTAGTATTTGTTCTATCATATATATTTTTTTTCTCGGTAACTGGACTAATACACAATAGTCGCCATCTTTTCGGGTGTCAATAATGGTGGTGACTGGAAGAGATCGCAGGGTCATTAGCTGGTGTGATGATGATTACTAATGAACCAACACAACCAACACAACCACTCAACCACACACTCCCTGATCTATAACCCGGAAGTGTAGGCCGTGGTTTGAATCAGGTTTGGGGTAATTATAGTGTATCAAATAAATTGCAATTATAATTATTTTTTCTCCAAAACTTCAGTTACAATCTCTATTTTTTCTATTTCGAAAGGTATATTACAATCGCAATTAACCAAAATTATGTAATTAGTTATTCAGTTTCAATTACAATTAGTCCAGGCTAAGTATTAATGGCTATTGTTGACCTGTGGCCGACAAATCAATGAATGCCTCGACCTGACATGACCTGACCGTGACCCCGGGAGTGATGGCTGTATCCTTAGTCAACTCTGTGTGTGTGTGTGTGTGTGTGTGTGTGTGTGTGTGTGTGTGTGTGTGTGTGTAAGCCGGTCACGTAGATGCAACCCTTATTTATGTTCCTCCTGCATCATCAGTATATACCATAACGTAACCCTGATTTAGTCTTCACACCAGGTAACATTAGAAGATATCCAAAGTATATATATTTTAACGCCAGCTACATGACCCCTTACCACTGCTCTACTACTGAAGAACGTTACACAACTTTGTAGATTGAAAGAAAAAGTTGTAAATATGAAAATAAAAAAGACGAGAAAACAATATTTAATAAACAGGAAGCATAATTAACATTAGTGTCCAACAAAAGCGACTAGTGCCCAGGAACCTCTTGTAGGATAGTCCTGATGTTCGGCTCTATCAAGGATTTTTACTCTGATAAAACGCAGGTATTCTCATTAACCTTTCTTCTTATGTTCATCAGTGTAATACGACAGTTCTTACCTGGCGTCACCAAACAAAGCATTCAGCTAATATGGTTAATTCTTGACTACCCAATCAACAACTGCTATCACTCTAACTACCTAAGCAACAGCTGCTATAAACTTATATAATGGTTGCCCTTCCTGTAACGAGGAAGGCCGGCCCAAAGGCCACCTAGGCGTGAATTTGTTTAAGGTGTAGAAGCTGTCGCCAACACAACAACCACACCCTGAGTTTACGAACTGCATGACCCAGTGTCAAGGAATAGTCCGAGAAGACTCGCCAACTGCATTGACGAGCTATTACCCCGGAACACGATCCGCAAATCGATTAACATCCTGGTCCCCAATTACTGCTGGGTAGACAGAGGCAAATGACGTAAATAAACTTGTCCATAGTTTCACCGAACTCAGGGATCGAACCCGAGTCATCTCGCTTGCGTGGCGAACATGCTGACCATTACACCACAGGTAGCCACACAACAATCACCTTGACTACCTAAACAACAACGGTTACCACCTATCATTCCCGGGAACAAGGAAATTATACACTGTTTACATCTTAGTATCTACAGTACTCTACGTTAAGACTAAGCCGTTTGTTTCAACTGACGGTACAAGACCCGCCCCCCTTTTGCAGTTCCTTGCACCTCATTGGCTCATTAATAATATTCGATTAGTATTGTTATATCGCTAAATAGATCCATATATAACCGTTAATGATACCCCGTTCTGGCTTATTTTAATGCTGAATTGAATATATGTAAAGATGTAACGGCTTGATAACATTATGTAAATGGAAAAACGTTTGAAAAAATGATATTTACCATCCAAGTCACAAATAAATCACGCTTTCAGAGAACACATTCACCACGACTTCTTCTGTTTTCACTAATTATTATATATATCAGGACAAATAACAACCAAACATATACAACAACAAATAAAGGAATATTAACAAAATAATTTATCATTACCTTTTCATGTTTAAAGCGATTTTCACAAACAATTTTCATATTCCCAACTAAGTTAACCTAACCTAACTGCGTGGCGAGGCGTGGTGGCTGGGTAAGTCGTTTTCAGTGACACGACTGCCACGCCAGCTTTACAGAGGCGTGGGTTTTTAATGACACTGTAATTACCAAATTGTTGTTAGTGCAATTATCCTCGAGAGAGAGACCTACGTTTCTTTTTGACAGAGGATAGGGTCGATGGCTTCCTCCCTCACCGTCTACCTGGCTGACATCTGTTATTAACTTTTCTCAA